GTCCTCCAACTGCCCTTGACGAGCAATCGACCAATCACAACAGACCAATTAAAACAGTTTATACAGAAGTTCTCCCTCCAAGGCCAAATCCACTGCTCTATCAGTAGACTTGGCAGGCGAAAACATAAACTTTCGCAGGTGGCTAGGGACAAACACAGACCAAAAAATAACATCCCAGCTTCGCCCCGATACACATGCAAATGGCCAAACATGCTGCAGAAATTACCATCCAGCATGCCATTTTGGAACACACAGAACTGTTGCCCAATATCACTTTACCTTCAAATGCACCACCTCAAGCTAACCCAGCCAATTGGACGGCACAAACCCTCTGGAACAAAACTCTTTGAGACATTTCCTTCTTCCTTGCAGTGTGTTACATATTGCACTTTACAGGGGAAAATTAAGACAACAGCCAAATTCAACCCACAGTTAAAATACAAAACATCTACTGCTAATACTGTTCACAACAGCCCCCCATACAAGTTAGCAAATATTTTTAAAAAAAGGTTTAAAACACAAGTTATATGTTAAAGTAGGTTTGGGGAAAAAAAACAACAAACAAAACAATAGGGCAGCCTTAAAAATAAGATTATAAAATAGCAAAGAGATCAACAAATTAAAAACATATGTAAAATGGGATACACTATTAAAATCAGTGGAAACAGTGATATTGTTTTTTTCTTTACAGGATACTGAAAAGGTGCAAATAGAATGTATCTGATTTTTCACACTTTTCTGTAGTGTCTGTTAATAAACTATTTAGAGTTGGAGGAACTGGTGAAAGCCATAATCCATCTCCTGCATTATGGTATTTCAGACACTGTAAATATTAATATCGGACTTTCAGATACCCTGTTCTTTGAAGAGAATGGACACATCTCTACATGGCCTATAAGGAAACCCTACTATGTTTAGCACCATACACACAAACTGCATGGGAATAAGTAACAACAGTAAGACCTATAATTGCTCTGAGCAATGGACCACATCTGTTTGCACTTAAGAGTGTGACAATTCCTCCTCTGCGTTGAAGGCTGCAACTCTGCAAAGGCCACAGCTATTTCATATGGGCCAGCTGATGTGTCTGTAAGTTGCTAGGCTATGGTAAGAATAAAGGTGGATTTGATTCTATTTCTGACTCTTGCTGTATATGAAATAAGGGCTGGCAGAGAGGAAAGCGTTTTAGCCTCTCATCCTTTGCCCAGCCCTTCTACTCAAGTCAAGGCTTGACCATCTTGATCTGTCCAACTCATCTGTCTGCAAGGTACAGGGCAGCAGCACATAATTTTAACCACTGGAATACCATTCTCCTGTATCTCTTGCAGAAAAAATGAAGGTCGCAGAACCACAGATCCTTTCCTTGCCTTACTCTCACAGAGAGACCAAGAGCCAGAAACAAATGATAGTATTTGCCTCTCATTATAGGTGTTTGAAGACATCCCCATGTACCCTGAGTGACTACTTATGGAGCCAGCAGGAAAAAAGAAATAAGGAACTCAACAGCCAGTCTTCAAAGACAATCTGCTCCTTAGATCTCACAGTTTTAACTATGGAAAAGTTTGCATGCCCTCTGTCAGAAGAAGGGCTACTTAACAACAAAGCACAATTGAATATTATACAACTGCCTGATTACTCACAATTAAACAGGAATAAGTCACCACGTGCCTGCCTACAAATTAGCCATGATACTCATAGTAGAAGTGCACAATCCAGAAGGATCAAGCGTAGCACAAAGGGAGAGTACAGAGATACCCCCAGTGGGGGAAATCAGAAGCAGCACCAGAAGACACTGGATTGATAATCTCAAACAAGCTGCTAAGAGATGGTGCTGCATTGCTTCTGCTGGTCATCTGACCTGTGCATAGGGCTCTGCGGAGAATGCCTACTGGAGCCTCATGCTGCCTCTCTGCCAAACAGGCCTGGGAGGAGAAAAGGGAATTCTTTCCCTGGGAAAGGGGCATCTATGTTTTTAAGCACAACTGTTTGAGTACCAAGCTCAAGAAAACACTGGTACTCTCAGTGCAAGCAAGCCCTTGCACTGTTACAGTTTTGCCATGCCTTCTTCACCTTTACTGCTTTTAGAAATTCAAAGCTGCACATACTGCAATTTTGAAGATGTTCTCAGTTTCTATTCCCCGGTCTGCAGCAACATTCACACCTTTAAGCAGACAGCAAGGTGGCTTTTGCTCCTTCATTTTGGTTTTGTAACAGTAATACAGGATTTTTGGGCAATTCTGACTATGACTGATTCTAGAAAGCAAATCCAACTCAAATAAATGAACAAACCAATCATTTCCATCTGTGACAAACAGCCCTCTATCACTTGCATCATCACCCTCCTCCTTCTTCCAGTAGTGTTGAATTATCAAACTATTAGTAATTAAAGAACACAATGTAAACTCCCACCAGCATTGGCAGTATAAAAATTAGTCTCAGTATGCTCTGTGTCTTCAGGGACACTGGAAGAAAACTCTCCCTCAAAAAAATTTAGAGTGTAACAATACTGAATAATTGCAATTGTGTAACACAGAGAATTGAAACAATAAAATTGGCAGCTGTTACAGAATTTCTTTTACGAAACTATTTTCTGCATCTCCCCAACTGAGTTCAGTTGTTCAAGTTAGTCTTACCCTCTTTGCTTCACAAATATCAGCAGATATTAGAATTCAAAAGCCCCTAATCAGTCTGATGTAGTCAGTTGACTAACAATGTGGTAATTAACTAAGCGGAGCCAAAGGTATAAAAAAAATTTTCTGGTTTTTTTTTCTAAGTACTTGTTACAAAAAGAAAACAACTGTTGAAGTTCATAGTATCACCTGTGGTTATTTTTGGATTTGGAAGCAGGGAGAACATAAAGCATTTTTGTATTTATTTAAAAAAAGGGATCTTTTATTGTTTAAATACATGCAATTATAAGCACAAAGAAAGCAGAGGCGGAATATCTAGTGTGTCCATGCTCCTCTTACACTGTGGAGCCTAAGATTGGATACAATACTCCAGATGTGGCTCACCAACATGGAATAGAAGGGAAGAAGGATCAACTTCTCTGACTTGCTGGCAACACCCCAACTATTTGCCTCTTTTGAAATACTGGCGGTGCTGGTGATCTTTAAATGTAACTTTATTTTCCCCCCAGCTTCACTTGAATTTTTTTAAACATCAGATTATCACGGAGGGTTAGACTGTCTGGAGTACACAGACTTTGGAAAATAGTTTCTTGCTTATGATTCTTAGCAATTAAAAAATGCAAGCATCTATCCTCCTTTTAAAACAACCTCCTCTCTTTTGTTACTGTGTTGCATTTACCTCTCCTCTGCAAACCTCATCACTACTGCAAATATTTTCCTACTATGCTTTTTTATCCCTCTCGATCTCACTTCAGATTCTTCATAAAATTTGAATGCCCTGTGCTCTTATCCATGTACCTTCCCCACATCTGAGAACAGGAGATTTCTTCTGAAGAACACTCTTCCCATGGAGCTGTACTTTAGTTCATTCATGGCCATTCTTGAAAGCCCGGTACTTCTATGCCTGTTAGAACTGAACTTTTTGTAATCTCATTCCTATTTCCTATCGTATCTTCTGGCATGAATCTCATTCTTTGACAGAAGAACTTCATTTCACAAAAACTTGAGTTAACACGGACACATTATTATATGGCCTAACCCCACTTGCCAACATTTACCTCCCTGTTACTCACCTGTCTATGAACTGGTCAATTATGACCAGATCACCAGGTTGTATTTCCTCTCGTAAGGAACCACAGGCAGTAGTCACTAATACGTGGGAACAATTTTCTTCTTTCAAAGCCCAGATATTGGCACGGTAGTTGACGTTCGATGGCATAACTGTATGATGCCTTCCATGTCTGCAAAGGTACATGTTGCAAGAGAGCAAAATAAATCAGACTGAAATTGCCTTCCTCCTGCAGGATAAAGAGAATTCCAGGAAACATATTTTCCCTAACAATATTGGAAGCGGAACTGATCATTTCAGCTACTTCCAGTGTAGCTTGTTTTCCTAAACACACTAAGGTCCTCTCAGCATTCAATTTAGAAACAGCGGTGTAATTTTCTTTTTAAACGCAAAAATTTTTAAGTTCAAGACTGTAACGAAAAGAATCTTAAAAATACAATCCAAATATATTTCAGCAGATTCAAGAGTAAAATAAGCATTTTCCTCTGAATTTTCCAAGTCAGTTCCATAGATTCTTTCCATACACTACAAGAAATTTCTAAGATTTATATACACCTCTAAGAATCTTCTGCCCAGAAGTGCTGCTTGTATTCCCCCACACAGAAGAGAGTAGCACATCACAGAACACTGTGTTCTAACCTGTCATTTTTCCAAAGAAAACAGTAGAATCATCACATTTTTCTCTTTGCTTTTGCAGTGATCTGACAGCTTTCATAAATTAAAAGAATGACTTCATACTGTTGCAGTATTCTTCTTCTCCAAGACAGGAAATACTTAGTCTTGTAAGCACAAGCTTCTGTGCTACCTCTGTCTTTGCTAAAGAAGTATATCACTCATATAATGATTAAACACATTTGAAAATTATTTTCAACCATGTAAGAGAAAAGAAGGAACTTTATTTCCCAACTGATTTTTTCAGAGATCAAAAAGTCCTAAGAATTTGATCATTTGGGAACTGAGAGTTGCACACAACATGACCAAGCACTGTCAGGGAGGATTCCCATGTTGTCATTACCATTTCTGATAAGCTATTAGGAATGCAGATTCATTGCTTAATGTTGCAGTTGCTGTCATAATCCTCTTCCAGAATACATGTGCCTTTTTTTAATTTGAAATTTGACATTCAGAAACCAAAACATAAAATGAAGTTTTCAGGTACCTTAGCCCTAACAGTAAACTCACAAAGGTCATAAATTCCAGTGAGGAGGTAAACCACTATCTGTGGCCCAAGGTCTAGTTTGACACAGCACAGCTATGATATCTTGACTTAGCATTTCATTTGAGAAAATGAGAAAAATGTTGGCCAGTTGTAAAAAAAATACATGAGCAAAGTCCACGAAAGATAAGAAAAGTAAAACCACAGACAGAAGTGTAGTTGCAGAGATGGTTACCAGTCAGCAGCTTTAATGGAAAAACACCGGCATGAACAGAATCAGGGCCCCGAGTGCACCACTGGGTCCTAACTGCCCTGGCCAGTCTCACCCTGGGCTTCCACCCAAACTTGAGGTGCTCCTGCCTCCAAGCTCAGACTCCAGCCTTCACTCCTGGCCCAAGCCATGTCACAGGTGTGCCTGTCCCCAGCCCTGTCTCCCAGACTGTACTTTGTCTGCAGTCCGAGGTGGGCTTTACATACATGCTATAGCCTTGTCTCCCATTTCCTACAGCTCCTGCCTGAACTCCCTGGATGGATCCTGGAAGATCCCAGAAAACTTTACTTGTCTGGGCCTGCTGCTGTCATTAGCACCTGGCTCTGCCCATGCTGTCCAGATGTTGAGAACTGTGTTTGTATTCTTATGTTTAATCTAGTAGTACATTGGTCCCAGACATCCGTGGTTATATTAGTGAGAAACTGCCATGCATTCATCTGCAGATCCTGCTTCCAGAGTCTCTTCTGAGTATAGTAAGAGATGTCTGAATCATTTAGGGAAAACTGCAGGGGATGCAGCCCCCTAAGCAATAACTGTAACGGCCAGAGGACTCAATAATCAAAGAAAATTATTTGGAAGAGTCTACAGTGGTATTAGAGACACAATTCACCTGGAAACAGGCATTTTCTCCATTTCACAAAGGAAATCTCCAAACACAGTGAGCAGATGAATTAATTAGTAAAGTTATCAGCACCACCTACCTACCAACAGAACAGGTGGCCTTGCAGGCTGCCATTCTCACTAGGGTAGAACCTCCCACTGGTTTTCTCTTTCCTAACCTGGACAGTATTTTTAATATTCTCAGTCCCTGCAGCATCAAATTTGCTCAGGAAGCAACAGAGACTTCTGCTTGACTTTGTTGGCAACCACACAGAGCAAGATGAAGTCACAGCAGAAATTCAGTTTACCTAATGTAAAGAAAAGAACTCCTGAGAAAATTTTAAGACACATAATATAAAACACCTTAAAATGCTCATTTACCTTGCTAAGAGCACACAGTCCACATTTTTGATCTTTCCCAAAATCAAAGCATCTGATGGCTGCAAAACAAGCAAATAAGAATGAGTTACAGCCTGACAATCATATTAGAAACCTTTATTACTACCCAAGTATAAGCATAATAGTTATGAAAGGAAGTACTGGCTCCCACTGTAGTCTCACATTTTCTTGAGCTCAGCTCTGTAATTTGATATGGCAGATTAGTAAAACAGTCTGGTACAGGAAGATCAAATTTCAGACCAAAAGAATTATCACAATTTTTATGTGTTCATACTAACATTAACATTGCAACCCTTTACTTCAGGGTTTGAAACCATAACACTTTCAAACATATCAAAAGAGCATTTCAAACAGTGCTTAATAAAAAAGCAGCATGTACATGTTCCTGTTAGATCGATTAGCATGCCTCCCTCTTTCCTATAAATTTGGGTTGCTTTTTGCTAAACAAGTGCCACTCTCTACTAAAGTCCCCTCCCAACGTAATTCACATTTAATCTGTCCCTTTCCATAACACTCGCCATTCTCTTCTCAGCCTTTCTACCATGGGCCCCTATCTCAAAATAGGGGTGTGCAGAGTTCTGGATTCCTCCAACTCACCCCCAGCTTCCTGAAAAAAAATCACGCTTCCCTGCTGCAGGAAGCCCTGCTTTTGGGAAGTGAACTGTGATATGACAGAGAAATTCTGGTACATCAGTGGCAGAGGCAGCGTTGCATTTGCTCAGCCCTGGGACTTCTCTCACAGCTACACAACAGGAAAATACATTCCTCCTGACTACCAACCAGCCAGGATGACAGAGCATTTTCATTTTAGCTGTCTAGCTGGCACATGTAGCCTGCCTTGGAGACGGGACACACTGTCCACACCAGGCAGCTCCCAAGTCATCAACTACCATTACAATAAATTAACTGTCCTGTGGGCTGTATTCTCCTCCTGGGTATTAGGGATTTGAAATACAAAATACATCTAGCTTCCCTTTTTGTTAAACAGCTACTAACAAAATTTTCATTTACCTACTGATCACAAGTTTGCAAGTGCCTTGAAGGACTCACACATTTCCATCTAGAAATGTTCTATTGCAGGCTACTTGATAAAATAGAAACAAAATTATAATGCTAGCTGCAAGATTTCAATCAGAACCTAGTTTTACAGTTGTCAATTCTATTACCCACTAGAAAATTTGCAGAGTTCTAGAATAAAGTGATATGTGAGTCCCATGTAGCTGCATCTTGAAGATATCAATTTCTAATAAAATCATCTTCTACTTCCTATTCCACAGATCTTTTATGCAAATATTATGTGAAAGCTCTTCAAAGCACCACCAACACCTAAATTCTGTCAGACACACATTTACTACTTTTTTTTTAAAAGGGAATGTGCCAGAACATTTATTTTTAGAACTGCAGTGTATTTTCACTTCCTTTTACAAGTCTCCTTTTAATATTAAACTATTGATATTTAAATGTTTAATCTTTACTGCACCTTACATATACTCTTCTGAAGCAAATATTCCTTTAGGAGTGAAATTTTAGACAGGGCAAAAGCCTTGCTGTCTAGTTGCTAGCTGTGATGTTACAACATTCCATAACAAGGAAGGTTCACAATAATTAGCAACTGGGGTTTTGTTTTGTTTACACACATTTGCTGCGTGAAGTAATAAGCACTTAGTTCACACCAGGATACAAAAGTACTCCTATAAACTAAAGAGGATGTCCAGCAAAAGTCCTTGCCTCCTATCAAAATCAAAAGTAAAGATTAGTAAGTTGAAGACTGAACCCTTTGTTTTAGAAGTGACAGATTTAAATTTATTGCGGGTGGTAGATTTAAGTTTATATCCAAGGAAAACAAAAATCAAGGAATAATTGAGATGAAAAGCATCCAGAGGTTCCCCAAGTCTTCATTTAACCTGTGAGCTAGTTTACAAACCAAATTACGCACCTTGTTTTCGGGAGGCAGAAGAGGTGCATAAGTGTTACATTACATGGTCTGATTTTTCCTAATGTAAGCACACAAAGATCAATTGCAAGGCCAAATTCCCTCTTGCTTTGTTTGCCAGATAGCCTATGACCAGAAAAAGAGGGGGAGCCCCTAGAATAGTTTTCTAGAACAGCAAGATATTTTGCCCAACTGGGAAAAGGTGATTCGGAACCAAGATCTGTCATCCAGAAAGTAAAACAATCTAACTGAAAGTATATTCTGAACAAAGCTTTGTAGTAGCTTCAAAATTCAATCATGAAGATAAAATTGCTTGGAACAGCATCTATTATCCTGTAGGAGAACACTGTTTTCCATATATAGAATCCCCAATGATGTCAGGGTGTTTTCAATAGAACACCAAATTTTTTATGCACTGAAAGTGGACAAAGGAGAAAGACAGATGGAATATTAAGGGCTGTAAGCTTATTTATTTTTTTAAACTAATGTAGTGCATTTTCATTATCATTAATTTAACTTGAAAGATGATAGGAGGACCAATGTCAACACAGAGAAACACAAAATCTACCATACTATTTTCCTGTAACCTTTTCCATATTTCACCTGAAAAAAAATCTCCACATTCCTTAATATTAAGTTTTGTTATCAAATGATTCTTATGATTTGAGACAGCCAAGCAGAAGACAATTCAAGGACTCTATATGAACAAAATGTAACCTATCATTCATCTTCTAAAAGAAAAGAAACAGCATTAAAGACATACAACAAAGGTTTTCAGCCAAAAATCTCTTGGCTATGTTCTTGCCAAGAAACTTAAGAATTAAACTCCAAAATTTATATAAAGTAGAATTGTACAGTTTGCTTTTTTACATAATAGAAGGAAATGGGCATATTTTTTTAACTATGCCTTGCATTTTCCTTTTGACATCCATTCACTTTCACTCTTCCTACTTTTGCTTGAACTAAATAGGCTGATGTTGCATCTCCCATTTCTCTCAGAAAATAAAGATCAAAAAGTTCTGAAGTTTATTTAGATTAAGTCCTTTACTTCTTAAAATTTCAGGCAGATTCTCTCTCCAGTGATGTCATAGCTCTATGACAAAGTATCTTTACGGCAGAAAAATCCCCATTTGGTTTTCTTTCAAGTAACAATCGAGAACAAGACACATCTTCAGAAAAAATACTAACAAACCACAAACTTCTAAACTTTTCAAAGCACACTCAAAAAAACCTACAATTGCTCTCTTGCAATAGTTGCTCGTCTCAACTCTGTAGTTCTAAAATGAGAGGCAGGTTGTGTAACCCTCCTTCCTGAATACTAAAAAGTCTCAGCAGCAAAATAAGTGAATTTTGATCCACCTAATGATACCAGTTGAATTTGTGAGGTTTGTTTCTGCTTCAGTGGAAGTCCATCAACTTGACCCAGTTCAATGCACTTTATGAGCCTGTAACTCATTCACTAAGCTCTGCACATATCACACTAAGGCTGATCCATCAGTTGCTCCATGAGGATGCAAACTGCATTGAACCACTGAAGTTGATGTGACCTTATAGAGGAGGGAATCTACATGAAACAAGCATCAGGTCAATGGTCTCATTTCTTAGAAGTTCAGATCTCAGAGAAGGAAGACAGGCCATCAGGGTTAAGGATAAAAGTTTGCTGTTTGGCTGTGTTCTCTTTCACAGTCCATCCAGGTCAGCTTCACAGTCCCAGTTTAACTCACCACACTATCTGGAATTCATGCTTGGATTCTTACCATGACATCTCAGTTATACCCCGACCCCCCTTAGACAGAGAAAAAACTTTAATGAGCTTTTAAGTTGAGCCTATGCTAAGTGCATAATACACAGGCTCAGACAAAGCCAGTCTATCGATCAAGGTTTCTCACAAACCACAACAGGTACCAAGATTTATTTTCTCCTATTCATATTGCATTCTGTGAAGAACACAGAAAAAAAGACACCAGCTAATCTGCTTACTAAATGAAATTTAAAAAGCCTTCCATATAGACTGAAGATACAGGACTGAGGAAGCTTTTTCTACTCCCTTGTGCAGGACCTATCCTGCAAGTACTCCCACTCCTCTCAGTAACAGTAAACCCTGCTGCACTGCAGAATTTGTGTCACCCAAATCCTGTTGCATCTCAGTGCCATGACAGCATAGACCTTCAAATGCTGTGCTGCCACTGTGCCCTTAAATCTGATCTGAACCTGTGAGGGAGAACTTGTTTCATCCTTCCTAGACAGTAAGGGTTCAGTTAATACCTGCTAAAAGCATAGTGTTACTTTTGCTTTGTCAGCAGTCTCCAAACACATCCGTGCTGTGAACATTCATGACTCTCAAAAACCAGGGAATGAACGCCAACTGGTTTGGTTTAGCCAGTGGATTCTCCTTCAGAACAATGCTGGATACGTTTGGAAAGTACACTACAGAAAAACACAGAAGGCCAGTTCCCTTCATCCTAATACAGTGTGTTGACTCATTTTGAAAGACGGTAGAAAAGTCAAATGTGTTTTTTCTGATTATTTTTTCCCCTCCCTTAATCTTGATCTCCTTCCCCTTCCTGAATGGTGTGCACACAAACTCCTCTTGCTTTTTACATTCTTACTTCCACCTTAAACCATTTTTGAGGGGGGGCACAGATTCAGATGTTCAATCACACACCATACCACTGAGCTTTCTGGCAAGCTTTTACTCATAAAATAGCACTTGCTACCGCATACCAGATGTTTTATTGTTATGTATACTAGCTTACACTGCTAGACTTCATAAGATATAATTCCAATGGCAATCATAAAGCACCCAGACTCCCCATGTCTTATGACATTACAGAATATCTAAGATCCATTTCTTCTATGAACTTCCTGTGTCAACTAGAACCTCTCTCACCCTTGATTTTCCTCATCCTTTGTCTTGCCTGTTTCTCGTATAAATGCTTTGTGACAGGAGCAATCCTTCACAACACCACCAACGCTGTGCACAGAGCAACAGCCTCAGCCTCCACTTCCTTTTACTGAGAGAAGGGACTGAATCGATGTGAAGGAGAATTGTTCAAGAACATCTGTGTCACAAAAACAGTCTCAGAGCTTCATTTTCAAATTATGTGGTTATAAGCACGACCTTACATTAGCATGTAAAGTATAACTCAGTAGTTACAGGGAAAATGGTGGCCCATATACTTCAAACGACAGTTTTCTGCAATTTGGAAAGGTTCCTGGATGAATCTGACAGATAATACAGGTCATATAACAGCATAAACTTGAAAGAGAGGGTTTATCTCTTGATTGCAAATTCAGGACTGAGTTTGTAAATTCATCAAATCTACAAATGAGAAGAGGTGTAGTCTCCTTTGCACATCATCTTTACAATACTTTATTTCTAGAAATTAAGAATTACACAATACATAGCAAATAAAAAGAATAGTCCTGTGCCGGGACCTCCCTTATACATTCATTTAACAGTTTGAAAATTCTTAAACCACACACACAAACATCTTGAAGAACGGCAGAAAGTTTCATTAATAAATAAAAAGGTTATACAGACCTTGCCATAAGGAGTGTCAACATATTTTTCTGTTCTTCCTTCTAAGATATCCGGATCATCCAGGCCAGTTCCACCGATAATTCCGATCTTACACAGAAAGTACACATTAGTCTTCTTGCAATTTACATTTAATGGCATGCTGAAAAACTAACCAGGCAGCTACAAAATGTATTTTTTGCTCAAGATGGGACTAGACTACAGAACAACAAAACATAATATGCCCAACACAGCTTCCCAGAATGGAAATTTCAAATAACTGATTTCAAACAATTGTATTTAACTCGCCAATGCCTTACCCTATGATTTTCTCTTTGAAATGCCAAATAAAAAAAAAGCTGTGGAAAAGTGCACAAAGATGTGCCAACTCAAAATTTATTTGCAATATAAAAATGAAGCGTGTTATTTGGGAATGCCTCTGATGAGTGCGAAATGCATGTAGAAATCATATTACAACAAAGGCTTCTTGTTTACATGGAGAAAAACAGTCTTACACATAACCACCATACAGAATAGCAGGCTGTCGTGGTTTAACCCCAGCTGGAAATTGAGCAGCTGCTCACTCAAGCTCCTCCTCCCTCCCCCCTTACCCCAGTGGAATGGGGAGGAGAATCAGAGTAAAACTTTTATGTTGAGATAAGAACAGTTTAATAATTAAAAATAAATAAAACACAGTAATAATGGTAAATTATAATAATAATGAAAACGAAAAGGGAAAAACAAATAATGCACAGCACAATTGCTCACCACTCTGATGCCAGACCCCCCTTCCCGAGCCCAGACTGGATCCCCTTCTGGGTAACTCTCTCAGTTTATATACTGGGCATGATGTTCTATTGTATGGAATACCCCTCTGGTCAGTTTGGATCACCTGTCCTGCCTATGCTCTCTCCCAGTTTCTTTTGTGCACCTCCTCACAGGCAGACCATGAGACAAGAAAAAAAAAAATTCCTTAACTCAGGATAAACATGACTTAGCAAAAAACTAAAACATCAGTGTGTAATGAACACTATTCTCACTCTAGATCAAAACCACAGCACTGTACCAGTTACTGAGAAGAAATTAACTCTACTCCAGGACACAGGCATTACTATGTAGCATTGTACACCCAAAACAATGAAAACACTACTGAAAAAATTTTGACTTGACAAAATCTAAGAAGTTCCCCAACTAAAATCCCCATTGTGTCTTGGTACAATTTATAGTGAAAAAGCATGAAGTGACTCACAATTACCACCTATCTGTCATCCTTTGGTAATCACCAATTTCTTGTTCTCACTCATCTGATCTAGTTCTTTTGTAAAAAAGGAGAAAGAAAAAAAAAGGCTAAATTGAAACATATATTCTTATTGAGACTAAATTTGCCTGTGATTTCATATTCCAGCTAAAGAAAAATGCATCTGAATTTTCTTGTTTCTAGTTCATAATTGGAAAGTAACTTGTTTTTGTCACTCTTTAGACAATTCTATTTTCAGTCAAGTCAGATTTTCTCTTAAGTTCAGAACACTTGCAGCCCTTTGGATGGAATGGGTACTGTCAAGCTTTTCACGACTGAAAGCTTAGTAATGGTATTTAAAAATGATGTCACTATCACCACCGAGAAAATGTTTTTTTTTTTTCCTTCATTTGTTGTTGCCAAGTTTGTATCACTTTCATATTGAAGAATTCATAACTGATTTGTTTATCACGGTAAAAAAAAAAATCTGAACCGTTCTGACATAACTTGTTACCACAAAGACTGAAGATTTCCCAAGTAAAACCTCCAGATTTCAACATACAACACCCCCGCTTCCACAACACACAGAGAACTGCCTCTTTCTGTAGCTTTTTCTTACTTTCACATTCATAGAGACCCCATTTGTTCAACCACTGTATTAGCCGGCTATCACGCATTTCTTTTCAACAAGCAGACGCTCTGTGGTCTTCAATACACACCCAGTACTTCTGTAAGAAAGCTTTCCACACCAGATGCTGTAAACCCTGATACGATGAGGTAGTTTTAACCGATCTCCTACTTCCTTTTGCTACCCCCCTGTGGAGCACGAAGAGCAGTGCAAAGGAAAATAGCTGTAATAACCTACGACTCCAATCCTGAACACACACAAGTACTAGGGAAGACCTAGATCGTTTTTTGCAGTAATATTGATGGTCTGTTCCCACGTTACTCGTGTTGCTTAGTTATCACGAACGTTCAGACCGTTAGATTTCTCATGAAAATCCCAAAAGCTATATACACTTTAGGATGAATAAAATACAGCCTTAAGAATTGTGGAAGGTGTGCAACAGGAGCAATCATACAACACAAAATCAACAAAAGACCATATTTAACATTGTTCTTGCATGCATTCAGTAAACAGTGATATTGCCACATTAACAGAAGACATTACCAAAACGGTCCTTGTTTTTTTCCTTTGGTTTTTTTTTGCTTGTTTGTTTGATGGTTGGGGGTTTTTTTGTTTGGTTGGGGTTTTGTGTTTGTTTGGTGTTTTTTAAATCTAGGTAAAAAATGGTCCCTTCAGTAACCGAACTAGTTTTAGCTTCCTATAGCACTTGTTATGACTTAAGTATATTCAGAAGGGAATGTTTACCTTCCTGAACTTTTACATCTGGCAAAGTGAAAGTTGTTGGGACTGAGGAAAACAGTGCAATGCTGGAGATATCAGCTACAGATACATGATATAGAAGTTATTTTGGAACTGCAATGCTTTAAGGTCCTTATGAACACACAGATCCATCACTATAATGGACTGTCCCTGTACCAGAAAGCAGCACACCTGACCTGGGGCAGCATAGGCCTGGTGTGGTTGCTTTCAAATCTGCTCTCAGGCTTCCTACTCCTGCTGCTGCAGCTTCATCAATACGTGCTTGTGCTGCGCTGTTGAGCTCCTGAGAAGCCTTTAACACCAATGGCCATGCTGTCAGAAATGGCAGTAGCACAGTGAGCTTGCAAAATATTCACAGCTCCCAGGATGGAGAACACAGAGCACAGAAGAAGAGCTAGACTATGCTGATTTTGCTTCTCCCTTCTTCCCCACTGCAAAACACCTCAGTGGCAGTCTGGTCAACCCTCAGGCCACCAAGGCAACATTGGCTAGAGAAATGCTGGGATGACTTATAATGTGCTGGAGCGCTATTCCAGTGGAAGGAAGTTAGGTCAGCAGAGATTTTTGAAGCAGCTGCTTCTTCAACCATGTAATGTCAACTTGGAGCTGGCAGCTCTATCCCTAAATTTAAATTTATCTCTCTGACAATTATTTTTCCTCCAGTATATATAATCTCCAGAAATATTATCTGCATCTGGGAGCTAGGCAATCTGATTCTATATTAAATTCTGCTTTCCAAATTTTCTAGTGAATTACCAAAAGGAATGCAGATGCTCTAGGCTCAGTGGAGGAGCTACTCTGTGTCCTGGTTCAGGCCAGGACAGGATTAATTTCTGCAGTAGTCAGGAGGGAGCATGGCCAGGAAACAGAGGTTATTCTATACTACCTCACATCCTTTTCTGGGAACGGAGGATGGGGACCCTTCCCGGGGAGGATGGGAACCCTTCCCGGTCGGGGTAGTGTGAAGGTGCAGTGGTGAGCATTTGCATATGAATCTCTCCCCTTTCCTTACTAATATTGTTGCTGTTAATGTTTGTTTTCTTACTGCTGTTTCCAATAAATTGTTCTTATCTCAACCCGTGATCTTTACCTTTTGTGCCTCCAATTCTCCTCTCCACCCTATCACAGAGGAGGAGGAGGGATGAGTGAACCAGCGGCATGGTTTGGAGTGCTTTCAATGGGAACACTAAATTGAGGAATATAATTCCTAAACCACGACATCCTGTCAAGGGAGCTGAGTTCTATCCCCACCTACAAGCCCAGGCACGGAAGGTATGGAATGGTAGCAAGAACTTCACCCAGGGAGAACCGTCTCACCTTTCCTCAAAAGCCAGAGACAGTCACATCTAGGAGTGACCTCAAGAATGGAAAGATTGTATGCTCCATTCCAGACACTGATTGCATCCTACAAAGGGATACAAAGGACATAACTTGTAAAAAACTAATAGAGGCTGTATCTAAGGATATCTGGAATTAAATCTCAAGTAAAATGGCATTGCAGTAGAGTGAAACATAAATTATTTTAATATTGCCCATCTCAAACATTGGGATGAAAAGCAGCAAAAGTGAAACCTAACAAAAAGTTATCACACCAGTAACTAAAAAATCAAAAGCATTTCTCTGTGGAAGTCCAAGCAACAACCACATTGAAGCATATGCCATTTTTCACCTGGTGTTTGGTGAAATTCCCCAAGTAGGTTTAAGCACAAGCATGGAAATATCAGTGCAGTAACAGATTACACTTGTCCGTCTGAGGGTCCTAAACATTGTCATGATCACCCACGAGTCTCTGCGACAACTAACGACCAACGAATCCCTCTGCATTCCTCTCTTCTGTTTTGGGGATATGGAGGGGAGGAAGAGGACGGCATTACAAAGACTTTTGCTTAGAGAAGATCATCAAACTGCATTAAGAGAATAAACCTGTAAACTGAAGACAGCTTGTAACTATTCTCTACACACCGAAACAATCGGGCGAGTTACGTCACCTGAGAAAAACAATTTGTAGTTTATTAAAACGCAGTCCCGGGGTTTCAGCCTGCCCACAGGCCTGCTCGGCGCTGGTACCACCGCCGCTCTGAGCCGCTTTTCAAGCACACGCGGCGGACGGACAGGTCTTAGCGGGAACTTTCGCACCGCTCGCTCCTGCTGCAGCTTCGGGCTCCGCGCACCTTCACAGACACAGTGCACAGTGCCACGGTCCCTCTCACTGACAAACCCGACACACCGCGGCCGGGTCGGATACCCGGAAATTTCAGCAAAGGCCTCCAGATTTCATTTAAAAAAATTTTTAAAAGATCCGTCTCTGCCGAGACGGCCGCGGGAGCCCCCGAACGGCCCCGGCCGCGGGAGCGCTCGGCCGGGCACCGCCCGCCACCGCGGCCGCTCTCCCGCCCGGCACCGCCGGGCTGCCGGGCCCGCTCCCGGCGCGAAGGCGGGAAGGGCGGCCGGGAGCGGGGAAGGGAGGGAGGCAGCGCTTCCGGCCACGCGCTCGGCAGCGCCGGGAGGGCGGCGGCGGGGCCCGCGCCATCCCGCTCCCGGGGCGGGGGGCGGAGGCGACAGGCGGGGAGGGATTGCGGGCGGCGGCCGCCGCTGCCCCGCGGCGAGGCGGAGGCGCGCTTACCTTCACGGGTCCCGGGGCGGTGGCGCTGGCGGCGGCCATCTTGGCGGGAGGGCGGGGCGGCGCCGCGGGTGGCGGCACGGCCCCGGGGGGGGGAAAGGCGCGCTTCCCGCCGCTGGGGGGCAGCACCCGCCCGCGCTGAGGGCCCGGCCCGCGGGAGCGACGTGTCCGCGCTGCTCCCCCACAGAGCTCTCGCCTCGGGGGCGCTTTCGTTGTTCAGTCAGTGAGAATGCTGCCGTGTTTAAATGCCTCTTGAATTCGCAACCTGAGCACACGTCCTGCTCTCTTCTTAATCCTTCTGACCTGCGCGTTTACCTGTGACTCTCCGGGAGCCTCCGCTGCTTGGTTCCGGAGCGGTGCTGCGGTTGGTGTGATCGCAGTGGTTTGTCTACTTAAAGGTGCAGGTATGTTCTCAAGATGCTAAGCATTGGCTCGGTCTGTGTGGAAACTTAACTTTCAGACGGTTCATATCCCGGTCAGACCTCCCTCCCATGCTTTTGGAGACACAGCAGTTTACTTGACTCCCCGCCTCAAGTTCATCAATTTGTCAACAGAAGTGGAATTGAGGGTGATCTTTTCAATACCCCAAAATGACTCTGAGAACAAACCGAAGCATGTTTGGGGGGGAAGGGGAAATCCTTTCTGAAGTACACATATATAAAAAGTATATATGTTTAGCTCTCCAAGCTAAATAGAGCTTCAAGTGATAGAATAAGGTAAAAACTATTTTATTATAATTACAATTTTCCTACCTGTGGTATTTTTCTTAATTTAAGTGGAACATTTGTTTTGCCGTAACACGATCCTGCATTTTGAGAAACATCAATGTGTTTATATATTTTGCTTCTATAGGTAGATATAAATATCAGATGTAGAGCTTTCAAAAATAGCTGTTGCCTTGTTAATTGGAAGTATGAAAAAGTGTTTCACATATTTTCTTTAAAGCTACATTACCTACTGGAGACACCTCGGGCACCCAGACATGCCATTCTCACATGCCCTCAGTGCTACCTGCCTGTTAAAGAAATGTCACATATCTGCTGGTAAATGAAGACTCAGACTCATCACTGAACATACGTCCTAGATTTTAGCTGCTAAGATCTTGAGGCAGTTCTTTGTGTATCAGGAAAACAATATTCCTGATAATCTGAGGCAGTAGTAGCTAATGCTGAACTTGTGCTTCAGGTGGAATGTGCTATCTGTGCAGCTTTAAACACTTTATCCTCTTGTCTTCAGTGTATGTTAGAGATCTTCATGCACTGCTGAGATATTTGTCACCAGGGCTGAAGCCTTCTTACTGCAGTTCAAAGTGTAGGCTGTACTGATGAGAAATATAGTTTTGGAAAATTGTAGTTTAATAAAGGGAGAAAGAAGGATGTGGGTAAAGTTACATGTTAACTTCTTCAGTGTGAAGTTAAAGCTTGTCAGGTGAAGTTACAGATAAGTTCTTCTTCAGTGTGTAGCCATAATACCACGCTAAGTCTGAAACTTACCACATTTTTCTCATTGCATTGAAGCTATACGTTCTACTCTTAGTGTACAGAATCTCTTAGTGAATAATTCTTGGCAATTCCTTCTGTTTAATTCTACTACGATGTTCATCCATTGATTACAAGAAGCTGTGTCAGTTGTGTTGCAGTACTCCTCTTTTACCACAACTATGTGCAATCTATTTGCTTTTTGAATATGAGAGCTCACTTTGCTTAAATAGTGTGGAAGTATTCACTATTTAAACTCTCAGAGACAATTGGCTCTTAGTTCTGTTTAAAACATGCTGGCTGTTCCTACACAGGCCATTCGTGGGAGCTTGATACTGTAGCTGACCGGAGAGGAATCAGCTTTCCAACTTCACGCCTGTGGATTCTCTGTTCCTGTGTGTGTTTTGTAGGAGTATTTCTCTGCATAAAGCTTTCCATATATCCACATTACATGTGAGCAGCAAGCAGAAAAGCCTACTCATGTTGAATTGTTAATGACAGAAATAGTTCAAGAAAGGTTGAGATGGAAACTCAAAAGGAGCTTCATTAGATGGAGTTTCTGAAGATGGCTGATCTGAGCCACTGTTTCGGTGCGGTCCAGACAATGGATGAATAGCCTAGACTCAGAATCAGAAAAGGAGCTGAAAAACTGCAGCCTTGCAGACAAACTAAGTACCTTTTCACATTTAATGCCATGTGAGTTTCAATTTAACAGTTTGCTAGAAGAAAAACCTGTATCAAAATGAAATTTTGGACTTCTTCAAGTGAGCTGTTTATCAACAGTTAATGAGTTCCCATTACTTATATAATTTTATAACCTGGATTAAGGAATACATGTATTTAAGCCTTCTGAATGATTTAACTAATCAATAAGAGGTAAGAAACGGTGCTCTATGAAATTAACATTGTTAAATATTTTCATTTCTATAGATCATATTTTTTTTATTTCTCAGTTTTGAATATCTTAAAATTAAAATCCCATGATAGGATTGAGAGGTGGAATCCAGTACAGTGACTGTTCATCAGTAAGATATAATCTAGAATTTTTTTAACACAGCATTTATCATTGTGAGAAGTCAGTTTTCTGCAGCAGCCATTTGGATTTGGAAGCAGGTAATCAAACACCACCCCAACAATACCACGATGCTCAGCAAAACATGATGAACGTACTTTCTTAAAAAGACACAGGTTAGAGAGTTCCTGTAGACATTGCAGTTTCAGTTCACAATTCCACTTATGACATTATAGAAAACCTTGAAATAAAGTGATAGCTTTGTATTTTCCTGGAGGTTGAACTTTGTACTTCATGTTCTAAGTGATGGAATGTAAATCCAGTTATCTAAATAAAAAACGTTTCGCCTTTTCAAAAATAAAATAAATGTACAATTACTTGAAATCTGTTTGCTTTGATTTCTCACTATTTCAGTTGTCTGTGTCTCATGAACAGTGTTTTCTTATCTTAAGTTAAAATAATGTGTAAAAACTAAGTTTCATTTACACATTACACCATTCATAAAATACAAAAGAACCCTTAGATGAAAATAAGTAGTTTATATATCAGATGAAGGCCTTTCGAACTTAAATGTAAAGTAATTTTTTATGTCATTTTTTGTGAAAATTTTGGTGAAAATCCACATGTAGTCAGTGCCTGAAAAGCCCTGTCCTTAGAAGTCTGGGAAGACCTGACAATTTAAGTTTCCTGCAACTGTGTTAATAGTTTTGGTCATATGCCTCACAGAGTTTAGAAATCTTGGTCAAATAAACTGAAACATTCTTATTAGTGTAAGAAGCACTTTAATACACAAATAATATAATATTTAGTTAAATATAGAAAACAGCCTATTTACAAGAAGATAATTCTTTACAGTGGAAACCAAAGTTGAGAGAAGATCTAGTGTGAGCAGACAATTAGGACTTAGTGACCCTTGAGTTTTAATACCTCTTCTGACATCAAATACTTTTACACATTTAAGTAATTTAAACTCTGTCCCTCCTGTAAAGTCATAATCATGGTGATAATCAACCTTAACTGCATTAAAGGGGTGTTTAGATTAGCTAGAATGTATTTGTGAAAATGCTTTGAAGATGAAAAGAACTGTTTCAAGGTAAAAGGTCCTACTTTTTTTTTTTTTTATTACAACAAAAGTTGCTGCAAAGAAATACCGGTGCTGTGTACACTGTAGCTGAGCTTTGAATTGCTTTTGCCAGTGTTACTTCAAAGAAACAATATTTACACGAAAGAAGGGAAAATAAAGCCTCAGACAAATCCAGTTTATCTTCTACATTCATTCGTGCCAATCTCAGTGTCATGAGTTCCCATAATGCTGTACTGCTTGTAAACTTTCCTGTTTCTGCCCTACAAATTCACAGAATTTCTTTCAGTAGTGATGAAGTACTACAAACATCTTAAAAGAAGAGCATCTTCCTTGTCCTTCTGCATCAGCCAAGACTTGACCCATATTTACTTCCAAAAGGAAGCCCATATTAACCATATGCTCTTACTGTGAAACTAGCTTTCTCTTGAATATTCAATGTTAATTTCATCTTTTCTCCTGCGTACTGGAAACAATTCGTTGGGCCCTGTCCCCAGAGTAATGATTTAAGATTTCAATTGACTCCAAAGAAAAATTAATGTGTGTTTTGTGTTAGGACAAATAATTTTTAAGCGTAAATAAGCTTCCAGGCTACTGTATGTAAGCACCCAAGGGTCACGTTCAGGAATAATTAAATAATTTTTTATTGTGATCCACTACCTAGATTTTATTGTTTCTACAGATCTCTCATGGAGCAGAGAGGTCTGTGAAGCCTCAAAAGCATGTCAGCAAAAGGCTAATGGAAGTTCAAAAAACCTTTATAACAGCTGAAGTGAGGTTGTCTGTCTTTACATTGACTCTTCTGTGGGGCTGTAACATTTTACATTGGTCCATTCCTTTGCAAAATGACCAAGTTTTTTCCCCTAATTTGAAACAAGTGGAAGTATCCTGAAGGGACCATTTTAGAAAAAGGAGCACCAGAAAATTCCTTCCCTAGCATGGTTTTTTTTTTTCCCTCAGGGAGGAACCATCAAGAAAATGACCTCACCAGCTTCAAAACTGTTACCTTGAGCACTTAATAACCTTAATGCAGTGAAGATTGCACAGTCCACAGACAGAGC